GATCCGAAATGGGCGGAACTTGTGAAGGAACGCGGCAATCTTCCGCACGATCTACAGAAGAGACTATCAGGTAACGAGCGCAGCAGCGTAAACAAGGGCAAGAGCCCGGGCAGACCACCTATGATGCCCAGCCCTACTAGCCAGCAGTCGGCGAGTACCGCCAATCTGGCGGCAACGTCAATGGCGTCCAGTCTCAACTTCCCGCTCGGCAATCTAAATAGCTCTTTGCTGTCGAGCCTGTCGCTTGGTAATTTCGATCCGAAAAATCCGCTCTTGATGCCATTCGGCGGTCTGACGAACCTGGGCGCGCTCGGTGGCCTCGGTAATATCAGCAACTTGAGTAACATAGGTCTAACGAATTCGCTGTTTAATCTGGCCGGGTTGAATCTGCCGTCGTTGGCGGGCATGGAAGCAGCATTGAATGCGCAAGCAGCAACCAGCAGCGCGGCGGCGGCGGCAGCCGCGGCAGCCGCGGCGGATGCGAATAATCCGGTTGTGAGTTCGGCGAATAGTAGTAGCAAGAATGCCGGCGCGGGTTCTTCGACAAACATTAGCGGCAGCGGTGGAAGTGGTAGTGGTGGCGGTAGTAGCAAGTCACGTAGCAGCAAATTAGATCAGCCGTCGACCAGCAAATCCTCGGCTAGTGGTGGTCCATCAACTTTGTCTGCTGTTTCATCTGCGAGTCTGCCGACTCCCTCGCCGTTCCCGTTTCTCTTCACGAATCCCAGTCTTCTCTACACACCGCTAACATTAAGCGGCCTGAATCCATTCTCTATGCAATCTGGTGGCGTGTCGTCGGCCTATGAAAGCCTTGCCCAATGTGGTTTGCTGAATCCACCGACATCCAGCGCTTCAATAGTGCGCAAACCTACGTCATCTAGTAGCTCCTCTAGACAACGTGAGACCATACCAGAATCTTCAACATCTTCATCATCATCGTCTTCATCGACAACGAAGCGAAAGGAGCCTGAGAAGAAATCTAGATATCCAGTGGATCCAGCCGTAACTCTGCAACAATACACGGATATGGCGGCGTTGCACAGTAGCGAGGAGAGACGCCGCGTCGAGCAGCAGCAACAACAATCGCAGCAGCAACACGAGAAGCGAGAAACAGCAATAACGGAACAGGCTGATGTGATAGCGGCGGATCTATCAGAGAAAAAGATCGAGCGGAAAAACAAAGAGCAAGATGTGAAAGAGACTCTGGAGCATCTGAGTAGAACCAGCGCCGAACTGGTTACGCGAAACATTGATGACGCTCCAGCACGGATAGCAATCAGAATTCTGACCAACAGCAACAACAACGATCGACGCCATCGGCACCACCGCCACTTGAAGTCACTCTTGAACCTGTTGCGAAAAAGATGCGCATCGAAATGGACACAAGTACGAAATCGTCCGCATTGAGTAGCGAAGTACCGACGGTAGAAATTGAACCGGTGACAAGACCATCACCGACAACTCCGATGAAAGTGGCGCAGCAGCCTGCATCTTCACAAGAGGAGACATCCAATGTTCCGCTCGTGGAAACGAGCATCGCCAAGAAGGAAGCAAACGAGACGACGTCATCGACCTCCTCGTCGACGTTTGCGACGAATGCGACATCGCCAACGCAGACTACTGGTGCAAAGAGTGACGGCGGGAAACCTGCCGCTCCAGAAACGGAAGAAGATGGCAAGGGCGGCACTAAAGCGCCAAAGAAGGCCCGTAGCGGTAAACGACTGAGCGTGGAACCACCACCAGAGCGTAAGAATCTTCGTTCGAGTGCCGGTAGACAGGCACGGGCGGCTGCGGAAAGGCAGGCGCGAATGGAGGGCGAGATGCAACAATCTGAACAGCAGCAGCAGCAAGACACCCACGTGGCTGGCGAGTGAGTCACGGCGAAGTCCCGTCGGACTGCTGCCGCAAAACGATGAAGGACAACTACTGAAAACACTCTATGGCGAACTGACGAAAGAAATTCGGTGGACGCCGGCAATCCACCGTTTCTTTTTCAACTCTCTGATTCGACATTGCTCGCACAACGAAGATCTGTATGTAGATGATTCCCTGTTCGACACTGACAAGTGTGAAAGTGTCAGGTGTTTCTAATCGCAATAAAACGCGAGTGTATCGAAAGGGGGCTACAGACATTGGTAGAATCTACCGTAGCCTTCGGTTCGGTTCTTTATTGACGAAAAATGTATGAATAAATGGGACTCTCTCAATTTCGCGGGAGATGGATCGTATATCGTTAGACGTGGACAGTGTGTGACAGTGCACGTTTATTGAATTGAAACAAAAAGAGAGAAATCTCTCCAATACGAAGGCTGCGATAGTATTTTATCACTCGATACTTTGTGTAGTAATTAATTTTTAATTGCGTAATCATGATACAATAATAAAAGTATAGTTTTGTTAAATTTATTATCTACTATCTCTTATTGGTTTTGACCAGGGACTGTTTTATATAAAAATATATATATACATATAGATATATTATAAAATTGTGTATTCGCTATTGCGCATAAAGCAATTTACAAGCAAAGAATGCAACGGAATATAATCGTAATGTAGAGAAAAATAATTACAGTAATAACTTAATAAAAAAAAAGGAAAAATGTAAATATATATACAATTATGCCTATAGAGACAGTAAGCAATCGTGTACTTGAAAAAGGAAATGTATATAACGCAGTGTACTTTTAATTACATTAGGTGAAACAATAAACAGCTTCTTTCGTTGTTTGCAAATACCAAGGATTCGAATCTCTTCTTTTATATTTACATGAAAAAAAATTATTAAATTAGGTATTAAATTATCTATTAAATAATTTTAGGATAGATAGAGGAAATTATTTAAATAAAGACATGGAATAGGTATCTTTATTTAAATAGTTAAAAATGATAAAGAAAAACGTTGAATTGATTTTATAAAATAATATATATTTTATGCAAACAAAATCGTTATGTGATTTGTGCAGTTTGAATTTTATTATAATCTTTCTGTACATCGAATTTTTTTTTATGCATCTAAAGGTTGTGGCACAATACGCATATACGTTTTGCCGGAAGGTAACATCACAGTTTTGATATTGTTATAGGAAGATTTGGCTTCACTGTCTGATACGCTCGGATCAATCATTACGTCGTCTCCTTTCTAAAATGTCGTATAAAATACATGTAAAAATTAACGTGTTAAATCATCAATGATATGTTTTGCTCGATATTTAATTATAAACAGCGGAAAAATTATCACTTGAAAATCTAAGTGAAATTTTATTTTCTCAAACCTGAACCTACCTTCCAATCTACAGGAGTCGCTACTTTGTACTTTTGCGTGAGCTGAAGGGATTCAATTACTCTTATTATTTCACTGCAACGCAAAGTACGAAATTTTAGTGACCTTATATTTACAAACAATAAATAATATTTAACGAAATATGAAACGTTTCTCACTCGAAATTACGACCAGTAGTGGCTGGGTATAAAATTGACAATCGCATCTTTTTGGCTGGGTCAATTATAAACACAGCTCGTGCCGACATGGGTAATCCAGTCTGACTATCGACCTCAACGGGATCCAACATTCCAAATAATGTGGCAAACTTTCTGGCTTGATCTCCTATTATCGGATATGGAAATTCTTCGCCCGTTATCTCACCATAACTCTTTATATCCTAGAATAACGTTTTATTTAATAATACCGATATGAATATATGAGAGAAACTTATTAAATCTGATATTAAATTTTATTAAAGTAAACTTATTCGTGCACTTGCTTTCCACCAAGAGACATAGTGTGTAACACGGTGATCATTACTTTATCTTTCACATTAGCAAACAACAGAGATGTAATGATTCAATGTCTTATACTATTTCTTGAAAAACATCTTAGATTAAATGCATTTATCTAAAAAAAACTTAGGTTGACTACACTGGATTAGCTTTAAAAGCTGCTTTTTATAAATTTAAATGCAATGTCATAGTACAATCAACTTTGATAACGGAATACATATATATTCTATTAAATAACATGACAATATCATTGTTAGGTATTTAATTATTCAAGATATATATTTGTATGTTCTCTTACATTTAACATTACTTTATCAATTTCATGTCTAGCAGCTTTTAGTATGTACTAATCTAGTGTAATGTAAGTGACTGAATTTACTGTGAGCAAACCTCTATCCATTTACGATGGGAATCGACTGAATTACAGGATAATGCTATCACTTTCACACCCAATCTCTTGAATTCAGGCATTAGTTTTACAACTCGTGCCAACTCGGTTGTACAGACTGGCGTGAAGTCATTTGGATGTGAAAATAAGATACCCCACCTGTGTATTTCAGAATTAATTCAAATATTTTATACAAACTGAATTATGAATAAAGTCAACTGAGAATCATATAATTTAATAATTATGCATACATCATAAATTTATTGTAAACAAATGTATATATATATATATGTGTGTGTACATTCTAAATACACATTCTAACATACATTATATACATAAATACACTTCACGTCACGTGATAAAGCACAACGAATAAATAAAATAGTAATATTTCAAGTACTTTTATTTATAACATTTCGACCGTATCTTTGAATATTTCAGTACGTAGCGTATATCGCCAATAATTAAGCTTTTTTTTCTACACTATTCTACAGGATCACATGACGGTGGAGTGTCTGTTAGGTTACAAATATCACAGAATGTCTTACGAATCGCCCAGCCATTCGTGAAATCTGATCGTGCCTATCTGGGTATCCGCTGTGAAGTCTGGAAACACTTCGCCTAGTAAGACCATTTTGTGGAATGTGTAATTTCACGATAAAACAAATAAAAGTATGTCACTGATGCTTCGTTAAGAAGCGCGCGTTCATCAACTCTGAACTATATCCGTCTTCGTCTATATCGAACCGTAACAAACCAGGAAACAGAGAGGGAGGAGGACTTTCAATCCGTATTTAGGATCGCGAAATAAATGTTATCCATTGTTGGGCACATTCAGAGATTCCCACTCGAATAGGTATTCTTCAGGTATCATTATTATTATTTTATTTTTGTTTAATGAATATTCAGTGAACAACAAGACTAAAATGATATCTAAGTGGCATTCAGAGATGGGAAAAGTCTATAGAAGAAGAATAGCATCCGAAACTTTGACCAAACTTCGATTAAATTAGCGATTATTTTAATTTATCAAACAATATTTGTGTCGTTTTGTTCATCCAGGCAGAATTTTTCGTTGTTTAATGGAAAGAAGAATTAGATCAGCGATAATAAATTAAAAATACATAATTAAAAATTACATAATTAATCACATAATTAAAAATTTTACAGCATGAAATCCTGTCTAAATTAGTCGCCTATTAATTTAATTGTTTTAAGGCGCCATAATACGTCCATTTCTATCAATGTAGATTAAATTTAATCTCGGTTTAATTTATTCTTTACCTTTTTGTCATTTTTATGAATGAAGAAAGATAAAAAAATAAGTTAAACCAAGATAGTTAATCTATATTAGTAGAAAGAAACATAAAAGGTGATTATGGGGCCCCAAAATGCACCCCTGCCTTCTGATTTTAGATACAAGCCTGTTGGAACGATGAGGGTGAAAGTGCGCAGATTCGCGCCATCATGCATGCGCGAAACTTTTTTCGCCAGAAAAGTGCGATAAGGAACAAGTGATGCCGGCAAATGGCGGTTGTTATAGCGACCAGTAATATGCAGTAATGTCAAAGAATTGAATTTGCATGCAAATTGCGCATTACAGGCAATATAGGCTTTTTGAATCAATCTGGCGTATCTGACGCATACGCAATATATCTGTTTGTACATACATGAGAATAAAAAGTGAAATATGCATTTATTCATATTTACAACATCAAACATATGTGTATGCATGTGTATTTATAATCACATATTTCGTTCTAATTGGATTGATGATTTACGTACACCATTAAACAGATTGATATAATAGTAGATTTAAATGTCGAGCGTATCATAAGAATCTGTGATAAGTATTGTATGTGATAAGTATTGTATGTGATAAGTATTGTGTGTCTACACCTTCCTGTGATCTCTGAGGCCAAATATGAGTCTTCTTCATATCAGTGAAGAAGGCTGGATTATCTCTCACTTGGAGTATCTCAATGAGATATACAAGAAAGTCCAAAATGAAGATGGATTTTGCGCTTTAGGCTTCAATAAAATGATATTCGAGATCAATTCTCAATATTTGAGACCAAATCAAATAGTTCAGACCGTCCAGGAGTCCCAGAATAGTGCTATAATACATAATAGAAAAAAGAGGAAGCGCTCACAGCAATTGCCGGAAAAAGATTTGGAGGAAGTAGGTGCAGAAATTTAATATTCAATTCATGTTTTAAAATATGACTTAAAATACTAATGAATAAGAATTGTTTTATTTCCTGTAGTATTTCAAAATCATTTTCATGCAACAGGTCGATCGTGTTAAACAAGCATTTATTGCAATGATGTCTGCTGCAAGACACAAAGGACTTTTTTGTCAGAATAACTTTCTTGATAACAATGAAGTAGCACGTTTGGCATCCATGAAATTTTATCAGGATACTTACTCTCTCAAAAATGAGAACCTCTATGGATCCAATGATACTGATGATGCTATTGTATCTGTGGCTCATAATAAAAAATATGTATTCCCCAAAAAATGTACATTTTATTGCTATGATGTAAGAGATATAGAAAAAAAAATGGAACTGAACAACCAATATGATTTCATATTGCTAGATCCACCCTGGTGGAATAAGTCAATCAGAAGGAAAAAGATGAAATATGCAGAAGCTTGGTATGAATCTAACATGATTCTTTACATAAATAAACGAAATCTTAATATGTTTAGAGAAAATATAATAAATTTATAAATTTAACATGTTCTAAATTTAAATAAAAATAGTTTTGTCTCCAAAAATGAATCAAATGCACATAAATAATTGTCTTATTCCAACATGTTTCTATGTTGCATGAGATATTTAGGGAGACATGATTATATATCTTTACAGTTACAAAATGATGTACAATGAGGAATTGGTTAAGATACCAATAAGAAAACTATTACATTCAAACGGTATTGTAGCTGTATGGTGCACTAATTCATCCAACCATTTGAATAGTATTTTTAATGAAATGTTTCCATCTTGGGGTATTACTTATAGAGCTAAATGGTATTGGCTCAAGGTAAGTAATATCTTAATAAAGTCAAAAATCAATGTGATAAGTATTAAATAATAACTGTTACTATAGGTGACACAAGCAGGTGACACAATATGTAATTTTAACTCAGCACCTGGAAAGCAACCTTATGAATTACTGATATTAGGGTCTGCACTGGAAAAAGATCATAAACTAAATATCCCTGATAGCAGATTGATGATCAGTGTACCTAGTGCAGTACATTCACACAAACCACCACTCACAGGTGCGAATATAAAATTTAAATATGAGATGTATTCCACAAAATATTTGATATATTACGATAAAATTTATTAATTTGTTCACGTCCTTAGAAATCATAAAGGAATATCTGCCGGACGAACCAAAATGTCTAGAAATTTTTGCAAGATACTTATTACCTGGATGGACAAGTTGGGGTCTAGAAATTTTGAAATTTCAACATTTGTCACTCTATGAAATTCTGGATGAATGTAAGAAAGATGAAAGTAATATCGACAACGTAAGAAGCGAAAACGAGAGTAAAGAAGAATCATAAAATGTAAGATAAATCTATAGACATTATAAATACATAAATTGTGAGATAATGTGCATCAATTCTTTATTATAAATTATTTGCAAAATTTTCTCGATACAATTTGTTGTTACGATGTATTGTTCAGATGTTCAATAGTTCCGTTTTTTAATGAAGTTCGATAACCATGTGGATTCATCGTTTGCCACGTCCAGAAGTCCTGGCCTATATTCAACATTTTCGTTAGACATGATTATTTGAGATTATTCAAACTCGCGTTCAAGTCGAAATATATATACTTACACATTTGCTCAACGTTGTACTTTGCTGTCCAGCCTAATTCTTTTTTCGCCAAATCTGTATTAGCGTACATGGATACGATATCACCCTCTCTTCTCTCCTTTATAATATACGGCACGGTAGTACCAGTGACTTTCTCAAACGTTTTTATTAATTCCAACACAGTCACACCATTGCCAGTGCCTAAGTTGTAAATCTTTAGCCTAAGGTGCTGTTTGTGCAAAGCATTTAATGCCGCCACGTGGCCGGCTGCCAAATCCATAACATGAATGTAATCACGGACACCTGGAAAAGTATAAATCGTGAGTATAGAACCAGTGATCTAAATAAAGTGTTCGATGAACTTATCATTTCTATACCTGTCCCATCATTTGTAGGATAATCACCACCGAATATGATCAACTCCGACTTGTGCCTCAAAGCGACTTGAGCAATATACGGCATCAGATTTGTAAACGGCTTTGTCGGATCTTCCCCGATCAATCCTGATCGGTGAGCACCCACTGGATTGAAATATCGTAAAGATATAATATTCCAATTCTGTTAAATGAAAGAAATCCTTAATAAAAAGTGAAATAGTATGCATTAACTAGAATGTTAATAACATGATTACTTCTTCTAAAAGAGAAAACTAAAAGTAAAAAATTTATTCTTATAATCTAGAATAAATTTATATATGAGTAAAAATAAGTACATTATTTTTACATAAAATTTCAATCGTTAATCTTATGAAATTGAAATAATTTCATATCGAGATTTTCTATATCTTCGAACCTTTTCAGCTCTGGATATATCCTTGAGCATCTCTTCAATAAAATACTTTGTTCGGCCGTAAACATTGGTGATATTACCGGTTTCATGTTCTTCCGTGATGGGTAATTCTGTAGGCTCGCCATAAACCGTACAAGAACTACTGAATACAAGCTGAAAACAGCCGGCCGCTTTCATCACCTGTAAAAGAAAAAGGAATGACACGTCGAATTATAGAAGTAATTCGAGGAGCGCACGCGAGTAATATAATCTTCTTACCTCAAGCAAATTAATAGCTCCTATCATATTATTACGATAATAATGAAGCGGAACTTGCATCGATTCGCCGACAGCTTTAATAGCCGCGAAATGTATCACGCAATCTATTTTGTGCTGTAAGTTACAAATTACTCTTCATGTGTCCAGAAAAAACAAACGGTTCTCTAACTCTTTTCAACTTTACGTCATATAATTACAATGGAGTAGTCATTATAAATGGAACAATATGTAATATAATTAATGAACGTAATACCTGATTAAAGACGGTCTCGAGCTTCTCTTTGTCGAGTAAATCGCAGTTATAAAACGTAACTTTCTTCCCTGTTATTTGCTCAACTCTTTTGAGCGCTGCGGACTCGCCGTCGGTTTCTGTTACGCTGTTTGCAAAGTTGTCTATAGCCACCACGTCGTAGCCGCACTCTAGGAGCTCGACGATACAATGACTGCCGATGTAACCAGCGCCTCCGGTTACGAAAATGGTCCTCCAGGCTCCCGTCATCTTGCAGACTAGGAATTCAATTTTTAATTTACATTCGTCGAGACTCCTTCAAACATTATACGAAAAAATATCGATATTTTTAATTAAAATAATCATTTGTAAAATATAACGAATTTAATCTAGAGGTAGGTTTGTATTGTAAAAAAATAATGCATCTCTTTTATCTAAGAACCGAAATTTTGTTCTTGTAATAGGAAGATTTTATTATAAGAACCAATTATATAACTAATTGTTAAGTCACAATATCTATGCTTGTTTATTCGTTTATTAATCCGAATTTGTTTGTTTTTTTCGAGACAAACTCAATTTAAACTCTAAGTGCATGCGGATCAGACTTTTATTCATACGGACGTACGTTTGCAAGCTGAAGTGTGCAGGTGCTTAGGACATTCACCTTCGTTCAAGTGAGCAAACAGAGTTCAAGGTTGCCGAAACACGTGGTAAATCATTGCAGCGGGAACGCGGTATATTTGCACTTCGAAGTTAAAAAGAAGGAACGTATAAAGGACGTATAAAGTAAGTATAAATAAATATTTATATAAAATTAATGTAACAATAAAATTAATATAAATTAATTTAAAATTAAAATTTAATTTAGAAGTTAAGAACTTTTAAATAGTTAAATTTTAAACATTTCAAATAATTATATATCTAAAATTGAAACATGATTATATATAAAATGTATATAATCACGAGCGTAAATTTGTTTTCAAATACCTTTGTAATGCGTATATGTTTAAGAATTTTTCCAATTCATTAAACTCGAAGCCTAACTCGCGTGAAGTCATACTTAACGGTATTCGAAATCGCACTGTTGCTCGACACTCATTTGGTCTATAGAAGTGTATTCCTAGTACACATATTCCCAAACAGATATTTGTGTAAAACGTATTTTTTTTTTTATAGATTGTAAGGCATACTATTTAAATGAATTTATAGATAATTTTTCAAGGGAAATTGATCGTAAATAAGCCAAGATATCTTAATTTACTCATTAATCACCGATTGAACGTATACTTGCAACGCGAGTTGAATACTGGAGAAGAATCTCTTTCTACGAACCTTGGCCTTTCAGAGAAATTAATCGACGTCCTTGAGAGCCGATTTTTCTCATCAGATTACGAGAGATTGTTCTCACTCGAAGAGATTTCCTGTCTAATTTAGAATAAAGTTGACTTAGCTGACGCATTGTCTTGGGATTCTTTAGCATTCCAAAGAATTTTTAATTGCAATATATGTAATTCGCTTTTGTTACAAGAGTTAATATCGTACAAAGGTATGAAGAGATCGTTACCTTAGATTAAAACTAAGTGCTAGATAATTCAATGAAGGACGCAATCAATTTCGATCCGAAGGACTGCGAGGCACTTTCGCGCGATGACTGACACTAACTGCGACTCTGCCTTGAATAGTAACTGCAGAAGAGTGAAGGTAGTGTATCGTGGGACGCGCGAGACATCCCCTCCTTTACAATGCCATATCGGCACACCATGCCCTTCCTGCAAACCTCGTCTTGTTCTACTCCAGCCGTCCGTTCTACGATCCTCATCTAAAGAGTTTCTTTTTCTCCTCCTCCTCCTCCTCCTTTCACATCTCATGTCGCACTCTTGCTACCACGATTGAGATCAACGCGAGAAGCGAGACAAACTCGCTACTGTCTTTCGTCGACTGTATTCGCCGCTTACAATACAACGTTACTGAATTAATAAAAGTATGTTGCCCATCTTTTGCGCCTCAATTGAGACACAGTTTAGCCGTTAGCCATAGAAACCTGTTTCGAGGCGACTAATAACGTAATCGCGCGAAATGAGAGAAAAACAACTGGCCGAAGGGCATCCCTTACTCGTCCCTCAAGGAATGTGCCCTGATTTTCGGATTTCGGATCACGCGAAGCAACATAAAATCATGAAAAATATCCCTGGTAAATAATAATCAGGAGAAAAATATTGTGCGCATAATTCGTAGCATTATTGTATATTTACTGCGCTGATATTACTTGTATTAATTTATGCAACAGTTCCTTTTGCTCTGTATCAAAGTAAGGATATAATTCGCTCTCGAGTTCCAAGACTGCTTGATGATCATGAGACTGACACGCTAATACCAAAGATTGTAGCAATAATAATTCATCCTCGCTCATATTAAGACCTGTAAAAAGCAATTGATCTAATAATTTTGAATGATTATGGAAAAATCAAAATATTTCTGTACAATTGGAAGCTAGATATGTACCGTTGTTCACATTTTCTTCTGCCCAAGCGTACTTTTCGAGGACCTGGGCAAGCGATGGTGTCAATCTCTGGGGTGATGGCTGAAGAATGAGCAGTAAAAGTACTCGCGTCACTTCGCACCTAATTATTAATTTTATTATATGTAATTTTAATTATTAAATGTAATGTAATATTATGTAATTTAATAATTTAATACTGTGTAATTTAATACACAATAATGAATTTTACGAATGATTATAATTATGAAATTAATCACAAAATAAAGCAACGCTTTCTTTAGAATTTTCTGTTTATAAATTGACAACTGATTGTCTTTGTTTCATTCGCTCATCTCTGTAGATTTTTCTAAAATATTAATTTTTTGCCTAGCTATATACAATTGATTTTTTTAAAATAAATCAGAACTCGCTTTAAACACTACATGAGAAATGAGCACCCAATTTATTATTACAATATCTTCATGATAAGATAATACCTATGTAGAATAGCATTATAGTTTCCTCTGGCACCAGCCACAACACAAGCTTCTACAAATTCTACAAATTCATTGAGTATCTGTAGCGCAGCTACATAATCTCCTGTGAGAATAAAATTACATGAAACACTATCTGTATTAAATAATCGTAAAATATTAATTATTTATGAGATTATTCATGAGATTGCAGATAAAAACGGATCAAATACTGACCCTGTCTTATATGAAAAGATACTAAGGTATTGATAGCTTTTGACGTAGGAAAGATATCAATTGCTTTGCGCAACTGTTGGATACCAGCAGGACCTGGGCCCAACGCTAATGCTAATTCTACTGATAAACCAGCAGAAATTGTATTAAATCCTGGTTGATTGCTACATCTAGCCATGGAATGGCCGAAGCAACTCACAGCTGCCTGAAACGTATGTGAATTATATTTAGTCCTTTCCTTTTATTTTCTTTTTTTATTGCAAATTCATGTTGCACAAGAAACCTGTATGTTCTCTTGGCCTATGGAGGGACATCCTATGTCGTTATCTTTTTTCTCGGCTGTAAGGAATTGCCTTCCCGCTTTTACTAGAAGATTTATTTCCGAGGAGGTATTTTCTAATGTGCCTTGGCATCTAGCAGCTGCCAACCAACATAAGCCTGCATATTGCCACAATTCCTTCTGTTCACATTCAGTAGCTAAGGCACCTAAAAAAATTAAACAATTTTATTTAATATTTTTCTTTTCTTAATAGTTAGAATTAAATTATTATGATTACATATAATTATACGAGCCTTTCAAAAGTCAAACTTATCAATTCCATAAAATGAAAAGTAGAGCAAGAAAACAAATATATATAAATAATCATGTACTCTAATATTAAAATAAAAAAAAAACTTAAAAACGAAATTGATTAATCAGCCTTACTGAAAAAAATCATATCACAATGTTAATCATAATGAAATCATGTAATTAAAACATGTAAATCATGTAATAGATTGTTCCAAATCAGTATATGATTTTTTTTATAACAATGTAATTGTTATAAGACACATGATATTAAGAAATCACATGATATTAGAAATAATTTCATCCACCATGTGATTTTATAGTCATCGAATTTAAAAGAATTGAATAATAGAAATAGAAGAAAAAAGAACATATCATGTGATTTTTCAAAACGTAATTTTAACTGATTTGGAACAAATTGTTACGATTTACATGTTTTAATTATATAATTTCATCATGCATCTGTGTGACGTGATTTTTTTCAGTAGGGAGACTCTGAGAGATATATTAATTTTATACTTAATTATATATTAAATTACACACTTACTAAATTGATCGCATGCCTCTGCGACGTTTGGCTTCCTCAGAAATCGTCTAAAAGATCAAAATGTAAGACAGAAAATTATTGATAGAACTTTCAATTACAAAAAGTGCTTTAAGGACTTACTTTTTCAATTTATTCGAAATATTATGAAACTTCGTCAAAAAATCCACAGCCTCCCCGATTCCTTGACCTTGATTGACATGGGCCATTTTTTTAAATTAAAAATTATGTTAGCTAAAAGTACGTGCGTATTTGCTTATTTGATGTTTTATTCAGTGATTTGACAGGCATGTCATGTCATGATGCACGTCGAAAAATTATTTATCATTTATACAAATTAAATTCCATTCTTTGAAAATCTATCACGACGATGACAAGGAAAATGACATGACTTAATCGACGTGAATCGACATAAACAAACGTAACGGAGTACAGAATACTGCATTATCGACAATACTTGTAATTAGTCACAAACGTACGAAGTAACTAGATGGGTTTTGAACGTGACAATGGAATGATTGGAAAAGGAAAAAAATAGTGAAGGCAAAAGATTCCATAGTATAAACACTCGTAAAATATTCGTATTATAATATATATTCTTATAATGTTTCATTAATTATATTCTTACACCAGAGGTGTATTCCATTTGGCGTTCACATTCGCGAACATTATTTATCCTTGTTTAACATTTAATAAACAACAAGGACGAAATGATTCCATGAGCTTTGAGAGTGTCAAGTGGAACTGGAACATATTCAATGGTGAATTCCTTCATTTTGATAGATTTTGATTTTCCGAATTTCCAAGGATATATTTAGGCTTGTAAATTGTTGTATGTTTCATTGTGATCTGTATTCCGATCTGATCATCTGTCTAGCTGCCAGTTATCGAATTTCTACGGTAAGACAAACGATTTTGTTTCTTTTAATGCGGCATTTTCTTTCTCTTTGTATTTTTCGAACACATCGAGTTTATAATTAGTTGTGCTAATTATAGTATAATATGTGTCTTTTTCATTTCAACTCTTTTTGATGATTATGGGCTCACTCAGGGAAAATTGGTGACAAATAAATAAAGTGAATGTATAATTTTTCGGAATCTTATAACATAGGTTAGGTTTATATTTTAAAGTTATATATCTATCTCACTTTAACTTTCAAAAGTGTATATTTCAGCTATAGAAAACAAATCTTTTATAACATAAACAGCTCTGATTGTAATTTTTCTGTCATATATAAATATTAATACAACTACATTTAATAATGAAAATATTTTTATTAATTCTTTGAATTTTCTAAATTGTTAAATTTAGAGAATTTCTGTTGAGTTTTTTAATCGATCTATTAAATTGTAATTTTAATAGATTTTAATAGACTTGTGAAGAATAAGGATTTTCCGGGAAAAAATGTTATGTATATAATTATATATAATTGTATG